AATTCCTTTTCAAAAACTGAATCAAAACACTGTCTGCGTTATTACGTAGCGTGTGTCATAAGTAAGCAGCATCTTTTCGTGACGGAGAACACTCTCGGAGTGACTCATATACACATTTAAGCAGGTCAGAGAGCACTAAGCTTGCAAAATCGCACTCACAAAAGCACAAAGCCTGAAGAATGCTGGGACAATGAACTCAAATCAGTGGGTGGAACCGAGGTTTGTCTGCATGTGTAGTCTTTCATGCAAACATACCTGGCATGCATCGTGGGCGAATTGACGCATAAGCCGTTGGTTATTAATAGCGTGTGGTGCGACAAGGTACTACACCTAACAACGTAACTTTGGCTCCTGTCTCACAAGGTGGTTTCCATGGATTTCCACAGGAATGTTTTTTGTTTCTCTGGTTGTCAGGTGGCTTCGGGCGTACGAGGAACATGACAAAGCCTGAGGGTGTCTGTGCCATCTAAAGAAGCTGTAGTGTCGCAACTGACATCAGAACATTATGCCACCTGGGGTTAAACTGGGGTGGCCTCGAGGGCCTGGAGCTCTCCCACTCTTTGTTTATGTGAGTGGTGAATCGATGTCTACCTTATAAATGGTAATGGCACTGTTCTCACATTTTTTTTTAGCATGCATGAAAGAAGAGAGAACTCCTAAAACCCCAATGCCAGACAGTATGCGCACACACACAGACACACACAGCACTTAGTAACACAGCACAGCTGTAGACTATATGCATCCAGAGCCAGGAATCCTCCTCGTCAGCAGACACTTCATGCCTAACTTTACTCGGGACCTGTCATATGACTGGCAGTGGGACATTGGCAGCACTGGACCTGTTGTGTGCACTCTAATTCCCCATGTGGTAGACATAATGAGACGCCAAAAAATCCCTCATTCAAACCAGTGACTAGGAACTGACAATCCAATGTTTAAAAACTCATGGCCATGCAATAAGCTGCACTGCTCAGTGTTGTTCCCTGATTGCACGTGTAATGTAACTCTGTGCACGGCATAAATACCTTCCAGCCGGCGGAGCTGTTGCTGTCGCCCTTGTCCTTGAAGTAAGGCACGCTCTTCACCATCCAGTCGTAGATCTGCGAGAGAGTCAGGCGCTTCTCGGGCGAGCTCTCGATGGCCTTGGTGATCAGGTCAGCGTATGACATGTTGCCCCAGGCGTTGCGCCGTGCCGAGCCGCTCTTCCTCTGCGCCGCCGCGGCTGTGGAAGAGGAGGAAAGTAACGGCACCTGTTGCTGCTGCTGCTGCTGCTGCTGCGGGGGGAGCGGAGCGCCGGAGATCTGCGGCCGCTGCTGCTGCTGCTGCTGCCGGTGCCCGCAGTTTTCTTGGCACTGGAAATCTGGGCACAAGACAAGCGGCTTGTCGTCAGCATAGTCCTCGGATTCTTCAAGCAGGCTGAGGCTCGTGAGGAAGTCCGCAGTGCCGCTCGGCTCGTGCTTGACAGACGGGGCCGGCGAGGACGTGCTCGAGTCAGCGGGGTTGGTGAACTCGGGCCGGGGCAGCGGCCAAGTGCATGATCGGGGCCGCGACAGGGGCTCAAAGTCCGGGTCGATGTCGACCAGCTGCTGCTGCTGTTGTTGTTGCTGTTGGGCCGCTTCCGCCATGGTACCGACAAACGCCCAACGTCACATAGAGTTGGCGGCGCGCGAGTGACTCAGGCGCGACGGCGCGCACAAGAGCGCGGCTTAAAACAGGAAAAACGGCAGCGAGGAAGGGAAAAAAAGTTTCGTGAGAAGTAAACACTCCTATCCTACATTTGTAACGCGTTGAAACCGTACGTTAAACCGAGTTCAAGCGCGAGGACTCGGAGAGCGCCTGACATCTGAAGGCTTTGTTATGAAGTTGTGATCAAAGTTTCAGCCAAGCTAGTATTCCGCTCGTGCGTGCTCCTGTCACTGTGTGTTTGTGTGCGCGTGTGTGTGCGTGTCTCTATGTGTGTATGTGTGTGTGAAAGAGACTGAGGGCGAGCACTGGTCTGGAAGCGGCGGTACTGGAACTCATCTATCATTGGTCAGCAGATACCGCCCACGCTTGATTGACAGCCGACAGCAGCCAATCACAGAAGCGCTTTGAAAGCGAAACGGCGCAAAAACAGTGATTTTCTCCACCCAGCGCTAGTAAACACATTTCATTACAGGCTCTGAAGGAAAAGTGTTGTGCTTCAGGTCACAATGTGCCGCCTTCAAGTGCACGTGGATCCTTCAAGTAACTTAAATAAACATTATGAAGTGTTATTACGGCTTCGTGTCTCTGTCATTGTGATAAACATAAGTGCATGTCCTGGCTAGCTAGGAACAGGTCTAAGCCACATAGTTTTATATATATATCAGAACACTATATATATATATATATATATATATATATATATATATATATATATATATATATATATAAAATGTATGCACCTCCGGGGTTGAGGGTTCAAATCCTGCCTCCACCCTGTGTGCATAGAGTTTGCATGTTCTCCCATGCTTCAGGGGTTTCCTCTGGGTACTCCGGTTTCCTCCCCCCAGTCCAAAGACATGCACTCTAGGCTGACTGGCATTCCCAAATTGTCCATAGCGAGTGAATGGGTGTATGAGAGTGTGCGATTGTGCCCTGCCATGGGTTGGCACCCTGTCCAGGGTGTCCCCCACCTTGTGCCCCAAGTCCCCTGGGATAGGCTCCAGGCTCCCCGCGACCCTGTGTAGGATAAGCGGTGCAGAAAATGGATGGATGGATGGATATATATGTCTACATACAGCCTATGGTCTAGCTTTTAGTCAAGCTTTGATACTTTGTGTATGAAAACATTGGACATGCATTCATTGGGTAAAATATTCTATGGGAAATAGGCCTACTTTTTTTCTTTAATTGTCCTGAAGAACAGAGCTGTCTGCTTAACTATCAGTTTAACATCAATTACTGTAGATAAATGTTTACATCAATTAACATCATTCGCCATTGCAAAACATGAGGGAAAAATCAACAGATTTGGTCATATAGAAATGAGGACCTTGTAATGAAATGGTGATATAAGATCAAGAAAATAAATAATAGCAGCTCATTAAAACAAACAAAACTGCCCTCCAACTACTAGGCCTACTCTATTGAACCTGTCTTAAGTCAGACATGTAATTATTTGGTGTGCAGTGTCAACACTGTGCCAGTGAAATGTCAGTAGTGCTGCACTACTGTGGAGTAGTACAGCTGTGTAGTCTACAGGCTGTTCAGTACCAGTGCTGGTGTTCAGTAGATAACGAGCAGTTTTATCTGTAGCCCACAGAAATGTGGCGCACGTGACCATACTGCCATCTTGCGGTCAATGTTTAAACTGCCAAGTCGTTTCACATGGGTGTCTCTTAAATAAACTGCAGCTCAAAACACTCCTGAGTCTTGGAAAAAAAAAAGGGCAAAATATGAAGCTTTTCATGGTCTTAACAACAAATCATTGGTCAGAAAATTTGCAAAAATTAAACCAGTGCACTCCTGAGAGCTCCTGTGCCACCATTTACACCATTTGCTGGTTTACTTTTGCTGCAGTGAAGTGTTTGTTTGGGGAAAAGCTAGAAACAGGGAAATTCACTTATACAGACTTCTTGTATGCAAAGGTAAAATCATGATAATGATTAAAATGTTTGATGTAAAATTCAAATTAACACATGTCTGTCTGGCTGTGCAAAACTTTCCAAAAATATCTTCCGGGATGTTTTTTTTTTTTGTTTCTTAAAAGATTAGTCATTATTTGGTTAGCAGCCGCTTCTGATGCAGCCCATCCAGGGCCTGATAACAAGCTCATAAATGACCCAGGACTGATAGAGCAGGGAGAGATCTACAGTATTTGTTTAATTCTTGCTCATTTCCTGACCAATGATTTGCTGTTAAGGCCATTAAAAGCTTAATATTTTGCCATTTTGGGCTTGG